TCGACCATCATGGGGTGGAAAGGGGTTGTTAGTAATGGAGAATAAAAATTCCATTGCTAGCAATATACCCAACCAGGTCGACCTCCTCGTGCTTCCCCCTAGAAACTATCATAGTTAATTCCTGATGAATTCATCATGATAGGCTAACTGGCCTGTTTTCATTCTCATCGATTACCCTTCACTGGTGCTCCGCCAGCGTATTCCGTTAGCGCAGGCGGGGTTACCATTCCATTTTCATCCACAAAAAAAAGTCGAACGTCATGGCCGCTTTACTTTCTTACATATATAAATAGTCCACAATATTACACAGTAAAAAAATCGGAAAGGATGGTTAGACTTAACTGCGTATCTCTCTCAAATGGTAGCTGCTACGTAACTAATGCCGGCCACCTAGCTGAATACTAAACGGGACATTATCGTAACCTTGCCAAGTCTACGTTTACCAAAGGAGTGAGTTGCTAAACTAAGCAGTGATAATATGGCTTGGTGGGGGAAAGGGATTGTTAGTAATGGGGTCAAAAAGCCCCATTACTAACAATATACCCTGTCAGGTCGATCTCCACGTGGTTCCCCCTGGAAACTATCGTGGCTAATTCTAATTGAATTCGTCAGGATGGGCTAACTGACCTGCTTTTATTCTCATCAGTCATCTATCAATGGTGCTCCGCCAGTGTATACCGATAGCGCAAGCGGGTATACCATTCCATTTTCACCCATTAAAAAAACTCCCATTTTGGAATTGAGAATCCAGGGAACTATGTACATTGAGAGTTTGACTACTACTCCTATACTCGGTGGAGGTTTGGATCTCCAACGTTTTTTTACTCTCTACTTGTCTATTTGACCTTCTTCTGGAAATCGTTTAAAAAATATATTTGTCAGTGGAAAATTAAAATCAGCGCTGTTTGATGCTGCACACAGCGTGACGCTGAACGGGAACCATTTCGACAAACATTAAACAACTTTGTTTCCTATATATACTACTAAATACTTAGATAGACCAGAAAGAGACTTTGTACAAAAGTCGTTTGCTTGAGTACCTCTGTCCCATTCGTGTTTCAACCGTGAAGCAGTTGTGTTTGCATGGCTATGTTACGGTTTTTTGATGGGTGAAAATGGAATGGTAACCCCGCCTGCTCTAACGGTATACGCTGGCGAAGCACCAGTGAAGAGTGATAGATGAGAATGAAACTGTGTTTCGGTTTGAAGTGTGGGATATGGCGTGAATTTACAGGGTACAGAAGAATAACACCTGAGTCCTCAGGAATGGCTTGGGGGGAGGGGTGTATCATGGGCGAAAAAGTATACTCTGTTATGTCCATGGTACTGCTCATGTCTATAGGCGACGGTTACCACTTTCCATCAGGTGGGCCGTCAGCTTGTTTGCCATTCTGTTGTATAAAAAAAGTCCAGATACTTTAGTATGGGCCCTCTTTAGTAATGTAACTTGCACTTAATAAGGTTGTCAATATAATGTAGATGCGGCAGATGAGTTATAATTCTGTGTGCACGCGGTGCATGGCTATCTAAGTTAGCTCGTTAAAAAGTTTGCGGTCGCTTTTTACTGTCGTTTTCTTTATTACTTAGCATCTACTTTCGGGTCCGGGCGATGCCAAATGAATAACATTATTTTATATGACTTCCATTGTCTATGTGGCGACTGAGTAGGATAATAAAGTGTCACCTCATATACCCTCAGAGATAAAAAGAATCCATTCTTAAAATATTGAATGGGTAAAAATTAAAAGAATAAAAATTATAATTAAAAACAAAAGAAAGGCAGACGTCAAACGCACACACTCATTTTGGATGAACCTGTTATTTTTTTAAATTGCTTTTTTTCGTTTTTTTTTTTTATTTTATATTCTTTATTTATATATAAATATTTTGTGTGTAGTTTCGTTATTATAATTTTAATATTTTTTGAACCCCTGTGTGGATGTAGTCGCATATTTCTGTAAATTAAAGTTTCTTTCTTTAATAAAGTCATCACTTAAAATACAGGTTTAGGTTTCTCTTGAAGATATTCTATCATTGACTTTTATATATTTGTACTGGAAGAGAGTAACTTTTTTAATTTAATATAATTACTAATTGTAAATATTAGCGTAATTCTTCATAACACTTAATAAAGCTACAACTCTGTTATACTCTCATAATGATAAGAGATTTTTTTAATTAATTAACATTTATGACTGGTTTAGGGACAATGACATAACGATCTATTTGTAGTGCCAAGTGCCTTAAACGAGAGTGGTTTAAGTGCGCTAAATGTCGCATCGGATAGGCCTCGCTCCGGGCCTCGTCCCACAATGGCCGATTGTACTGGCGTCGTTTTGGCAACCTCTATTGCCAGCGTAGTAAGTCTACACGAGACTAATTGTGTATGCTCTCTATTGGCCAATTTGTGTGTAATCCAATTACAGTATTTGAACAATATGTTATATACATGAAAGAGTAGATGATTTTTAATGGATAAAGAAGGAGTCGGCAGTGAACTAACGTAAAAATTTGTTGCAATGTTGCTCTAGTTAAATGGTGGTCATTCATTCATTCATTTCAGCCATTATCTGTCCACTGTTGGACATAGGTCTTCCTCATAGACCGCCATAAGTAACAGTCCTGAGCTACTTGCATCCACTAACTCCCTGCAATGCATTTGAGGTCGTCACTACATCTAGTGAGTGGTCGTCCTACACTACGTTTGTTCGTACGAGCTCGTCAACTCAAATACCTTTCTTCCCCATCGGATGTCGGTTTTTCGAGCTGTGAACGAGTGAACTTTGATACTTTTTTTCAAAATATTTTAAAAAAGGGTTTTACATTACTATGAATTTTTAAGTGCATATTATGAGATGTATTTGCCAATTCTGAAGTGATTTCGAAAATAATTTCTGCAATTGATAGGATTTGTAACTAGAGAGATAGACTTTGGACAAAAGCCGTTTACATGGGTACCTCTGTCACATTCGTATTCCTGCGGTGACGCAGCTATGCTTGCATTGCTCTGTTACGACTGTATGTCAGTTTGAAGGGTAGGTCTTTTAAACCAATATATGGCAGTGAAATTGCAGGATACGGAAGTATAACACCATAGTCCCCAAGGATGGCAAGGCATATGCTGTTCATATCTACAGGCTACGGTTAACACTTTCCATCATGTGGGCCATCAGATTGCTTGTCATTCCATAAAATTGCATCGTATAAAAAAAAATATCTAATAATAATGTTATTTCGATGGATATGTCACTATTTTTTTAATGTTTTAAATTAAGCGAGCTACGAAAATTTCAAAATTCATTCACGTAAACACATGTATTTCTAAACAGTGCAAAACTTTTGTTCCTGTTAATATAAATTCATGAGAATAATAACAAAAAGTTAAAATCATGTTGCGAAAATTTGTTTTCATTATTCGATACGAAAGGAAAAAACATTTTCCCGTCAACGTTTATCTACTTTTTGATACTGATTTAATTTTGTTTTATTTGTTAAAATAAAATTTATCTATAACCGAACAAAACTGTGATACAACAAAGCATTTTACAATTTTACAACAAAGCTCGTACAACTTCAGTTGTATTTTACAATTTTACAACAAAGCTCGTACAACTTTAGTTGTATTTTACAATTTTACAACAAAACTCGTAAAGGTTTAATTATGCTTTAGTTTAACGATAGTTCAATATTAACACACATAAGTATAAGAACTATAATATGTTTTGATTTATTTTATTGTAGGTATTCTTATTTGGGAAACAAACAGTATAGATAAAATAACAGATAAAATATTACATAGTAAATAATTATTTACCAATAAAATTTCCCCTATTAACTATTATGTACAGAGCAAACATGAACTTTTATAAAAAAAACACATGTGGAATAACATGGGCATCTTGATATGCCGGTCTAAACCGTGGCGTAATATTCACAAAAATCCCGTTACGTTTACTTGTGTCAAACAAGTAACTCCTATATTCTATCATGTTTCTAGGTGCACCAGTTTTTGTACTGTTAATTTTCAACTAGTATTTAAATTTTTACTAAGCACATAAAATATCGTGGCAATGGGCTGGTCATATAGCTCGCCCCCCACTACATGAAGTGACGACCTTAAATGCGTTGCAGTGAGTCAGTGAATGCAGGCTCAGGACCGTTCTTTATGGCAGTCTATGAGGGAGGCTTATGTCCAGCAGTGGACGGGTAATGGCTGAAATGGCTTACCACTTTGTACAAAAGACAATTGCTTGGGTACCTCTGTCCCATTCGTGTTTCAACCGTGAAGCAGTTGTGTTTGCATGGCTGTGTTTCGGTTTGAAGGGTGGGATATGGCGTGAATTTACTGGGTACAGAGGAATAACACCTGAGTCCTTAGGAATGGCAACACATGGGGGGTATCATAGGCAAAACAATATACTCTGTTATGTCCATGGTACTGCTCATGTCGACGGTCACCACTTTCCATCAGGTGGGCCGTCAGCTTGTTTGCCATTCTAAGTTGTATAAAAAGAAAAAAAAATTATGATGACATGAAATATCGAGTTCCTATATACAAAAAATAAATAAGATTTTTTCTATCATTATTATTCGTGAACAACAGCCAAATATAATCGATATCAGATTCAATTATACTTATTTATGTACTCAATATATTTTACAATGACTCCAAATGGGTCAGCGATTAGAATTTACAACACTTTGGATTGTTGTATAAGCTGAGAAATATGGCAAGAAACTCGATAATTTGATGCCCTTCCACGCTTCCAACACAATACTTTACACTAGCACAGGGTTGCCATCCAATCCGGATCAGTCCAGATATATCCAGATTTTGACAGATTTTATAAAACTTATCCATATTAAATTATATTCGCATATTTAGAATATTTTTTTTTAATTATCACATTACATTTTTTAAAAATAAATTGCCTTACTCATTATGTAATCGGTTTTTTTTGTGAGAAATATTCTAATTTCTAAATGGTAACCCTGCTAACCGTACTGGTGCCGCGACGGCTGCTAAATGGGGATCAGTTGGCTCGTAAACAGGCGAGCCTTCTATGATTCTGACAAGTTTTAATTGGAACCCACTTGGACGGCAGAGCAAGCGCTCCATTTTAATCGTTCCGTTTTTATATTGTAATTATTTTTTAATCCGCCAATTAATTTGTAGCCATCGGTACCATTGTTTGTGTATTAAATAAAGACCTGGATTAAACTTCGGCCGTACAAAAAAATATTTTTGAATTTTCCGAACACAGCCTGTAAGAGGCAAAATACTGGGCCACCTTATTCGAAATGACAATTTTATAAAGAGAAAAAATAAGTAAGAAAAAATAGAGGGCAAGAGAAAAGGGAAAAAGGAAAAAGAAGGAAAAGACCGTGGAATAACAACATGGGTGAGATAAAGGAAACACTAGGTGTCATGTCGTATAGGGAGGTTAAAGATATGATCTAGGATAAAACTGGCTGGAAGAAAATGCATGATTTAATTTCACCTACAAGAGGATTCTTAAATGAAAAGAAAGAAATATGTCGTCTTGTTTTCCATTTTAAGTTGCATGAAAAAAGAGCCTTGTAATACCAAATTTATATGAACTACTCATTTCATATTTATATTTAACTCGGAGATAAAATCCGGCGGAGAATTCGAGATGAATGCAGAGGAAAATAAATGTAAAAATAGACAACAGCCATTATTTGTTTGAAAGGTCTATTGTGAGGTCCGAATATAATAGGTACATAATCGTCTTATCAATAAAAAAACTCGTCTTTTTTATAACAATAGTCCTGTCCTAGTTGTGCGAACAAAGTAAACAACTATAGTTAGATAGATACTCTTTATTGTTTCCTCCAAAAGATTACAATAGTAAACTTATTATAAATATAAACAATTACAAGAAATAATCACAATGAGAAAACAATGGGCGACCTTATCGCTAAGAGCGATCTCTTCCAGGCAATCTTTGGATGGAGAGGAGTAATTATAAACAGTTTGATCGGAGGCACGGTGAAATTCTATTATTTCTATGATACATGATACATATGATACATGTCCTTTTTTTATTTATCATTGCTTAATTTATCATTGCTTCCTACATTAGGCTCAGCCTAGTGTAGGAAGCAATGATAAATTCTGTGCCAATACAAACATACTTTGTTAAATAAATATATCTTTATCTTATCTTATCACATGTAATAATGTAATAATAAACTATATTTATATATTAAACAAAATAAGTAAGTGACACAAATAATTTATTATGAGAAACCAAACAATTTGTGTATGGAAAATATAAAAAAAAGGAAGAATTTGAATGAAAAACCCCATCTCGCTAACAAAGTCGTGGATAAACTACTAACAAATAAATTCTCATAAAAAAAACAACAACAAATATTATAAATAAATCATTAAATTTATTAAACGAACTAAGATATTGCCGTGTGGTCCCGGCGTAGAATAGGCTAAGGCTAAGGGAGCTCGAGGGATGGGCAGCAGCGTCCTTCTTAAAACGAATTGCACCTATATTTATTTATTTATGTTTACCTGCATTTTACAATTGCTTAAACTCCAACACACTGTAGGCAATTATAATTTTTGTAAATGCACGTAACATCTAATGTGGTAGGTGGAATAATATGTATGACCTCAGTAACTCTAGACACTTGGTGACAAACTATTTCAATAATAATAATAAAAGGAACAACATCTCAGACGGTTGGGATTCCGAGGCGGCTCACTCCCGGGAAAGATGCAGAAAGCGGTGCTCTTAGATACTGCCAGCATTGTACGCCGGTTTCTCTCCCTGGGGCCCTGAACCCCGGCCGACTGTGCTTCTGCCGGGGGTTAGTTTGCCATCTCCTCTTCTTAAGAAATTCTGTGATCGGGAAGATGGGAGATGTGAATTTTCTAATCTCCTCTTCTTAAGAGATTAGAAAATTCACATCTCCCCTAGATGTGAATTTTCTAGAAATTTAAATAAATAATTTTAGTAAATAATTTTTATTTAAGTTAACTTAATATTAAGCATTTTTTAATAGTCATTTTTTTATAACTTAAATTAAAAGCAAAACGGTACGTCAATACGAAAATTTTCCTTCACCACAAACATCTTCAAACGTAATATAATTAATATGAATCGAATACGGAAGTAAACTGAAAATAATTAGCAAATTCAATTCAAAAGTGGTAAAAATATAACGTAATATATGTACATGAAAAGTATTAAAACTGAATTGTAATAAAATATCTTCTTTTAACGTTAGTCTAAAATGTCAACGAATACTTATTAAATAACGATTGCAGGCGGAAGCATAATTATTTATTTATTTGAGTAATATCAATGTATTTTTATTCAGCCATAAATTTATTAAGAATCTGCGTTAACCCAACTTGTTTCACGCGTCAAGAGTTTTAATATTTTAAACCAAGAACACTACAAAACGCTTTGCCTACCGCACGAGTTGGGAAGACATTTTAATACAAACTGGCAGCGATTGTCCGGAAACTAAGTATCACTTCTGGCAAGAGTTGCTAGTTCCACTTCACGCTGCGCCCGCAACGTAGTTTACACTTCAATATCCACTAGAATAATCTAACTATAAACCTAGACTTGCAAACAGTATATCTTTTAATTTTTACAAACTATGTAGTAAAACAAAACTCTGTTTATACTACTATGATGGTAAACAAACATACGGCCAGTCTGAAAGTAAAAATTGGCAACATAATCACATAATATTTACATAAAAAAAATTCAGATCAATTCAGAGCCTCCTCTTTATGGAAGGCACTTAAAACGAGAACAAAAAAGCAAATTTTGTTATCGAACATTATTTTACATCGCCGGCGCTAAAAGGCTTTCATAATGTCAATTTACAATGTCTATAAGTAAAATCATGTCTGCTCAGTTCGGTGTAAAGCAAGCGAACTAAGTGTTGACGGCCTTCGTAGCCCGATGGTGGTAACGTTGCTTTGCGTAAATGAAGTCCTGGATTCGATTCATGGCCGGACCAATATATTAAAAGATTTTTCTGATTTAGCTCTGGTCTTGGTATCCTGGGTTGTGCCCCAAGATATCCATTGTCGGTTCCTGATAACACAAGGTATTCTTGCTTATTTATTATTTTTAACTTATGTTAATTTTTTTACAATGTGTATATTATATATAAAATTGTAAGAAGCTCAAGTCAGGCCACGGCTCGGATTATTGATAGTCAGCGCCTTACTGTCCGACTCGACCCACTGAAACTACGTAGAGATGTTACATCTCTGTGCATCTTCTACCGAATTTATTATGGGGAGTGCTCTGAGGAATTGTTCGAATTGATACCTGCTGCTGATTTTCACCATCGTACAACCCGCCATAAACCAAAATTTTATCCCAACCAACTGGACGAGTGGCGGTCTTGGTGGCGGTAAATATATATAAGAAGGAAAATTTACGAACTCACCGTGAACTCGGCTGCGGCCCGCAGTTCGAGGCAAGAGGCTGTGACGCAAAACGCCGTCTGTGCCTTGAAGAAGACTTCCAGATGAAGCCGAAACAATTGTCGGAAATGACAATACGGTGACTTCGTTATCATACTATTGTCATGTCAACCTTTAACTGTCCATTACTGGACATAAGCCTTCCCCATAGGAGAGTTTTACCAGTAGTTGCCACGCTTGGCAACCGCAGTTGGGCTTTGGAGATATTTTAAGAGGGACATTTTCTGCCTATCCCTTGCCCTCTCTTAGTCGCCTCTTACGACACCCACTGGAAAGGAAGTGGTGGCCTATCCTATACCGAAACCATACAGTCAGTTAATTTTCCGTTATATATGTATGTTGACATTTATTATATAAAATATATTCTTACGCTTCGGTGTGACAGATGTCCCAACACACATGGTGTCGACCTCTTAATATTACCACACTTTATACCAACTTTTCGTCTTCTTCACGCTGTGTAAAGCCAGCGTTGATTAAATTTTTATAAAGCCCACACTCGAGATACATAGCAGTCGTGAGATTAAGGTATTGGCCTCGTCGGTCCACGGTAAGCTTATTACTTACCTAATCAACTATTTGTTTAAATCTTCTTATCTCGTTAATCTAAATTTAAACCTGCTGGTACAATGAACACTGCACTGAACAAGTTTCTTTAGTTGGACGTAATTCACTACTCGTCTTGACTTTACAAAATGTCTTCAAAAGATTTCAATGTGCATTATTTGAAACATTTGTATTAAGATATATATCTGTTTGTATTGTTTTGGATGTTTTCTATAAGTATTTATTTACCTAAGTAAATGTATTACAAGCTCTACTTACTGTTAGGGCTAAACCTCAGTTTACTTTAATATGTGCCTGCAATTTTAATACAGTAATAATACAATATATGTAGCATGATTCATCCATTTATAAATCCCGTCTTCAGTAGCTCCAGTAACTATTAACTTTTTTTTATACAACTTAGAAAGACAAACAGCTGACGGCCCACCTGATGGAAAGTGGTAACCGTCGCCTATAGACATAAGCAGTACCAAGGACATAACAGAGTATACTGTTTCGCCCATAATACTCCCTCTGCATTGCCATTCCTGAGGACTCAGGCGTTATTCCTCTATACCCTGTAAATTCACTGCCATGTCCCACTCTTTAAACCGAAACACAGCCATGAAAGCACAACTGCTTCACGATAGAAACACGTATGGGATAGAGCTGCCCAAGCAAACGACTTTTGTACAGAGTCTCCCTCTGGTAAATATGATAAAGTTTATGATTTCGCCTGCATGGATTACAGACTTGTTACGCAGAGATATCACGGTCGTGTAATCTGCTCGAATGACACATAGTCGTACCCTGTATATTCATTGTCATATCCCACCCTTCAAACCGAAACACAGCCATGCAAACACAACTGCGTCACGGTTGAAACACGAATAGGACGGAGGTGCTCAAGCAAACGACTTTTGTACAGTCTCCCTCTGGTAAACATGGTGTTGTTTCTCTTCGTTCTTGCTATTTTTTCGACTACTGAACATAAACCTCTCTGTAGACTATCATAAAATACGATCTGAGCCACTTGCAATATTGCATCCACTGACTCTTTGCATCATAACTGGGATCAG